TCCCCGTTTCCCGGGCTCTGATGGTGACCCGCACCCCTCTCACGGCCCTTTTCCCCAGCCTGGGGGTGCCGGAGCCGACTTCCCGGACCCGGATCCCCGAACCCCGGCTTTCTCCCCGCCGCAGAGGGCCGGCAGGCGCGTGTCCGTCCACCCCATTCCCGCGGCCGCTCCCGGAGTGGGGGCCCCCGGCGGAAGCGGCCTTGTGCGGGGTTTTCTGGTCTTGGTCAGAAGTTGAATTTAAAACTGGTGTGTGTTCTTGACTTTGCTAACGGTTTTCTACACTCAGTGCATGTTTCATACAACAGTAGTGAACTTCGAGTTGAATTAGTCTTTGTGACTTTACTCACATTCAAAAATTGCCCCCTTTTCACCCAGCTCAGTTGGAGGTGCTCCAAGCTGGCCGCCGTTTGCCTTTGAAGCTTTTTTGGGGTGGGGATTGGGGGGTTGGGGAGTGGAGGGCGTGGGGGCGGGTGGAGGGGTCGGCTTGGTAAATGTGATTGATTTCACCCAGTGTTTTTTACACCTTTCAGATTTTTTCTTACACTTATATAAACACATTCATTTGATAGTTAGCCAGTAGTTGGAGTTCTTGTAGGACTCTGGGATAAAGCACTGGACCGCAAGGTCAGTTTGAACTACCAGGTCGGCGGTTCAAAGTCACCAGCCGCTCCTTTGGAACCCTTTATAGGGTCACTATGAGTCAGAACCAAGTTGGGTGGCACTTAACAACCAGTACAAGTTTACATCATAATAAAACCACATTGGGTAGATCTGACTGTTGGTGGCCGCATGTTTCAGAGTAGATCTGTAGATTCCATAGGGTTTTCTAGAGCCGTAACTTCCAGAAATAGGTCACTAGGTCTGTTTTCTGAGCCACCTCTGTGGATTTAACCGAACTTTCAGTCGAGTAGCTTTGTGCTTACCAGAGACTATGTAATGACATCATCTGGCTTAGAGCTAATGTCTGTATTCTGTAAAATTACTTAGCAATTTTGGTTTAATTTCTGATGTAAACTGCATGTTGGTTCTGACCCATAGCAACCCTGAATAGGTTTCCCAAGGAGCAGCTGGTGAGCTTGAACCTTTGCTCTTGCGGTTGATACGGACTTTGCAGTCCAGTGCATCATCCTAGAGGTCCACACCAGGACTCCTGCTTTCTGATACTATAAGTTCATTAATGGTTTTAATGCATATAAGGGAGCCCTGGTGGTGTGCTGTAGGATAAGCACAGGACTGCTAACCACAGATCTGCAGTTCAAAACCACCATTGTTCTGAGGCAGTAAGAGGAGGCTTTCTGCTCCTGTGAAGAGTTACAACCTCCAGAATCCTCAGCAGGGTCTCCATCAGCTGGAAACGGATTTGGTGGCAGTGGGTTATCAGGCCGTAAAACAAAATCTCTCTGGGGTGCTGGTCTAAGCAGCTTACAAAATTCAGATGATGGGACCAGGCTAAGAGGTAAGGTGAGCTGTGCATTGTTACACAGCTCCTTTGTTTTGTAGAGCTGCGACAAACATTTCTTGCTGTGATTGAGATGTAGAAGGATGTGTTAGGTGTGTGGAGTGGTGTGGCACTGTAGGATAGGCACTGGACTGCAGGGTCAGCGGTTCGAACCCAGCAGCCGCTCCTCAGCATGGACTGCTTGGCATTTAATGCAACAACATGGTCTGCAGTTCAAATCCACCAGCCACTGGCTGGAGAAACATGAGGCTTTCTATTCCAGCAAAGATTTATGGTCTTGGAAACCCTATATAGAGTTGCTGTGAGTCAGAAGGGACTTGATAGCACACCACATCATGGCCTTAATGGACTCTCAACTGTCCAGTCTGGACTCCTTCTTACACTTGCTGTATTTGTGCGCATGTGCTGGTGAGAATGCGTACTGAGGGATATTGGTGAGGAAGGTATGTTTTATATACTTCCTGATTCACAGTTAATAAATTGAACTTGGGCAGAAGAGGCCCTTCATTTATTCACTGTTAGGTTTCTTGTCCATTACTTGTATGTCACTGACCTTGATGCTACTTTTGGTTTTGAAACCTTTAATTTTAAGGTCGTTGTAGATTCACGTTTAGTTGTATGAAATAACAGATTCCTTTTCCCCTTTACTCATCTTGCAGAACTTCAGTCTGATAACACAGCCAGGATATCCACACTGGTACACTCAGCTCTGTAGAACATTTCCATCACCCCCTGATATTTTGTCCTTTTATATCCATATGTCCACCTCTCTGTGTGAGGAGTGACAGCCAGAATCTGCTCTCCAGTTCATACTTCATTATTCTAACACCGTTGCACAATGGAACTGTATGGTATGTAACTTTGAGGATTGAGGTTTTTAGACTCAGGATCGTTTTCTGAGTACCTGGCTTATTCACTTAAAGCTACTATTTGTCTTGAAGTTTGTGATAGGGTAATATTTATATGCCTAAAGACAAGAAGATCCTCTGGTAGCGTAGTGGTTATGAATCGGGCTGCGAACCTTAAGGTCAGCAGTTCGAAACTACCAGCTGCTCCGCGGGAGAAAGATGAGGCTTTCTACTCCTGTAAGGATTTACACCCTCGGAAACCCTGTACAGGGTTGCTATGGGTCGGAACCGACTCGAAGGCACTTAACAACAACAACAAACAACAGTCATCCAGGGAAAATGGTAGATCACAATAGTCTGCTCTAGTGTGTGGTGTTTCCACCAGCTGGGGCTGAATCAGCAGCAGCTAACAGCAAACACCACCACCACCATTCTCTGGCGAGTCATCCGTGTTGTTTGTTGTTTTAATTGCTGAGTGGTTTTTCATGGTTTGGATGTACCAGGTTGTTTGAAAGACATCTGGGTTGTTTGCATGTTTGGTCATTATGGATGAAAGAGCTCTAGACATTAGACATTGATGCACAGGTTTTATTGTGAACAGAAGTCTTCATTTCTCAGGATAAGGGTCTCGAGTACAATTGTTGGTTGTATGGTACTTGCCTGTTTAGTTTTATGAGAAACTGCCAGACTTTGGAAAGGTTACGTACCGTTTTACATTGCCCCCGCACGTAAGAATGACCCAGCTTCTCCGCCTGCCTGCTCCCTGGCATCTGCTATTGTCATAGTTAATTATTTTAGTCATCTTGATAGATGCGGAGGGTTATCTCCTTACAGTTTTAACTGATTCCCCAGTGATGACTTACGTTGAATGTCTTTTCATGTGTTTGATATTTGCATGTCATTTTCAGTGAACTGTCTCTTCATGGTTTTTTGCCTGTTTTCTGATTTTATTTCCCGCCCCCCTTTCTTTCAATTAGTAGGAATCATTCCCTCGAATAAACCTCATTGGCTAGAATACTGGATTTGAGTTTTAACTGCTGAATTTTGAGTTCTTTATATATTTATCAGATAGATGTCTTTTCAAGGTCTGAGGGTCTTTTGCAGACGGGGAGTCCATTTTATCAGTTTTTCCTTTTATGGTTCGTGCTTTTGATGGCATGCTACGAACTGGGCTGAACTTTTCTTGTGTGTGTGTGTATGTGTGTGTTTTTAAACTTTGGTAGTTTTATGTTTGACAGTTAAGTCTGATTTATTTTTGTAAATGATGTGAGAGTTAGGTTCCGTTTTTGCTCTGTGGGTGCCCAGTGTCTTCAGCACCCTTGTTTGAAACAGCAGTCATCTTAAATTGTCTCCGCACATTTTCTGAAACCAGTTAGCAGGTTTGTGTGGGTCTGATTCCGCTTTCTCTATTCTGTTGATCTTTGTGTCTGTGTTGTCCCTCCAGTACTATGTAGTGTTGGTTACTGTATTTGTCACACGTATTATATAAATATGTTAAGCCTTAAAATAGAAAAACCCAACATTACCCGTGGTGCGGCGCTGTGGGCTAATGCTCCAGACTGCAAAGCCGTTTGAATTGCAAGGTCGGCGGTTCAAACTCACCAGACGCTCCTCAGAACCGACTCAGTGCTACTTACCAACAGCTCTCTAGAATTTCATGGCTGTGACCTTTCAGAAACCAATCGCCAGGACTTCCTTCTGAGGTACATCTCAGTAACTGAATGC